ACACGATTGACCCTACGCTCTTCTTTGCCAGTATTATGTAAGCCCCGGAGCAATCTAGCGAAATGCTCAAGTGAATTGTTTGTCTTGCCACTATTTTAAGTGACTCTGTAGCCGTGAACCTGGGGGAGGTATGAGTTGTGCCTTTGAATGGTTTTGAGGTGGAGTAGTGAAAGTTATTACGTGTACTTGACTGTTCAGTTCCAATACAGGAAGAACAAAATTGATGTTTAACAACAAACAAATTTAGTACGAGAAATCAAAGCGACAAGTAAAAAGAATGAAAATAAAACCACAAGGCCCTCCCTCACCAACCCAAAGATCCTACAATTATACACCGTCTCATTTACTATGCCCTTGACTATCTTCAGCAAGCGATAGCTTAATTATTATTGTGCACGCCCACTTTTTAGCCCCACGAGCCGCCCCTGACACAGGCCCAAAGACGCTGTACTGCTTTCTTGCATTTTTGTAGTGATAAGTGATTAAACGTATTACTTCTATTCATTTGCTTTTCCAAGTTATGTTAAAATTTCAATACATGATGCATAACACCGAATGTAAGGGCGCATAAAACAGTCTTTCAATAATCACCACAATATTTTGCCACAGTTGTGAGTCCAGGCATGAATTATTTTGCAACAGTTGTGAGTCCAAACATAATATTTTGCCACAGTTGTGAGTCCTGTATCTTCTTCGACCAAGACGGGCTCCGTGAAACTTCAGTGGACGCTGGCGCCACCACACGAGCCGCCATTGGACAGGCGGAGTTCGTCACGCCTGAAGCTCCCAGTTACAAAATGTTAGCCTACATGTTCGCCATCGTGTCTGGCGCGGAGTGGATTTTCCTGACCAACAGTCCGATGCTTCCCCCCTCACGGGTCTTGGACAGGTTTATCATGGGTGAATTTCCCACTGGACTCGTGTACAATGAAGAGGTGGGTAGGTAGGCTTAAAGTGACGCTTCCCTTAATTCTTGAGTACGGGCAGGGTTAAGATGAGGCTTCTCTCAACACTCGTTAGTAGATTAATCAACACAATTTTATGACTTTTAGAAATAATGAGTATGATATTTGTCGAATAAATAACATTAATAAAAATGGAAAAAAAGTGTAAGTACTTTGATTGACGCGTAGCATACAGTGCAAGCAGCTGATTGAGCGCTCAAACATTAACAAACTATAGACATATCTATCTATCTATCTATCTATCTATCTATCTATCTATCTATCTATCTATCTATCTAACTATCTATCTATCTATCAGTCTATCTATCTATCTATCTATCTATCTATCTTTTTCTTTATCTATCAAACACACATAAAAACAAGAGTGCACCCACATGCATACAATAGCACAGACATTATGTACACAGCCAGACATTCCTCTCTCCTCTAAGAAATAAACACAGATTGGTCACTAATAGACATGTCTTTACATAGTATTCATTTTCACGTTTCGCACTTCCGAAAAAAATATCATCTTCCTTGGATGTCCACTTTGTCCCATTCTCTCCCCACTTATCTTTACACCTCCCATCCCTTTCCCACAACCCACACAACGACCCCTAAACCACCCATCCCCATTCCTTTACTCCCACCACGGCCTCATCCAACGACTCCAAAACAACCCCCCCCCCTTTTATTTCTTTGACAACCCGCATACACAAACACCCCACTCACACAAACACATACACACACTCCTACACGAAAACAAACATACACACAAACACACAAACACACATACACACAAACAATCACACACACACACACATACACACGTCAATACTTCGCTCAATGACCCCAAACCCACCTCCCCCCTGCCAATTTGTTTCCTCTCCACCCCCTCCCCTCCCAACCCCTCCCCCTCCCTCTCCATCACTCCTTCCTCCCTCCCCCCCCTCTTCCCCACGTCCCTCCCCTCCCTTTCCCCACACCACAACGACCACCACCACTAAAGGACATCCTGGACCCCTGCGAGCACTTCACAGACGGCTATTGGCGTGCCGGCCAGCTGTCATCTCGCCACATTCGGCGCTACACAGTCAGGGGCGTGTCACAGAAGGCTGTCATGGCGGCCGTCTCCCACTGTTACCAAGGGGTAAGTGACATACTTTCTTATTTTTAGTGGAGGTTTTACGGCAATCGCAACTGCATAAGGTCATATGAGCGCCATAAGATTAGAGGTGTTACAAGAGAGTAACAAAACCAAAAAAGAAAAACGGGAGATAAGGTCGATAGATGTTTGATAGGAAAGAAGAAGCAAACCACACCAGAGCACCCTCCAACCACCCACGACATACTTTTTGTTAAGACTTTATGTTTCTGTGTTTAGGGACCGTTCACAAATGACGCCAGCTCAGAAGGAGGGAGGGGGTGGAGGAGCCTGTGAAAAGTTGACAAAAGTTGACATGGTGGCC